CTGTCCGGTATGAACAAATTTGTTCATATACTGGTGAATTCAAAAATGCGTAAGCTGAGCACGTACACAGAACTCAGTAAGCTATGAATAAAAATGTTCATAAGCTTTTAGTGTGTCGGGCTTCTTCCGCACAGGCGCACCCGGGCGCACACAGCTGCGTTCAGGTCACCACCACACACAGCTCACAATTAGTTTGATCTGGTAACCTTTTCTTTCTCAGAGAGGCCTCTTCTGCACCAACACTCATGTCTGGCGCAAACACTAAAAAAAAAAATTTAAAAAAATGAATCGCCGCGGGTGGCGGCGTACGCGGCGTCGGACAGAGAGAACGCAATTTTGTTTTACGGCTCCGGCTCAGGCGCCGCCACCGCAGTAACGCCTCGCCTGCTAGACCGTGCGTAATTCGGCGGAGGGGTCACGCTGGTTAAGCCGGGCGGTAGTCGAGCCGGCACCCTTTTCGTGCGTACTTTCCTTTTGGCCATTATTATTATTATTTGCTTCGGCAGAACGTCTCCATCACACGTGTGCGTCCTCACCGGTCCTCACGATGGCAGCGTCGCGTGACACCGCCCGTTGATAAAATAATAAGCTGTGTAAGCCCGCGGAAAATTGTACAAGTTGGCAGCCCACTTTTATAGATCAACTACTGTCAAATTTCCCATGGGTGTGACATTGGATATACGGGGGGGTTAAAACACATACACACATAATCCGAATCCGACGCTGCGCGTTCGTTGATCCGAGAGTGGTGTGGCTACCACACACAACAGGTATCCCGCCTTCCGGTCGCGCATTTGAAAGAGTGCGGATTTTCTTTCTCCAAAACGTCTCGTTAATGTTTGTTGCATGGAAGCATGGAAGGTTGAACGGGACGGTCAGCTCGCTGGGTATAGGGTCTATCCCTGCCTGCCCGCAGCTGCTTTGTAGCCGGCCAGTGTATAGTGGCAGCCCTCGCCTGCACGCGCTGAGCGGCGCTGAGCGGCCGCGCAACACGCTGTAACGCCTGACCCGCGGGCCACGCCACGCCACGCCACGCCACGCCGGGCAGCCGGGCAGCTGGGCCCGATGCAGGTTAGGCAACGTCTGCACAGCGTTGTCTCTCAGACGGGAAGGTAGGGGACCCCACCAAGGTGAGCGAGTCGGGATGGACCAGGACCAGGCCACCCCATTGCTCTCAATGCCTCTGTCACAAGACACACTCCGATTAAAAAAATCACGAAAAACAGACCATTCGTCGTCTTTGAAAGACAGGGATGGTCACTCATTTTCGGTGCGACGCGATGTGCGGTGGCAGCCGGGGCCTCCCCGCAGTTCACAGTCGGTGTATGCAGTGATGGCACACTGACTTTTACCAAATCACTCCCTGAGGCCCCGGGGGCTACTCGCTTGCCGGCCGTGCGCCAACGAACCAGGCGCGGGGGAGGCGGGGGGGGGCCTGCCCTGCTCTTTAGAAACATTTCTTTCTGATTCTATACAGCACGTACGCGGCTCAGTATATGGCAGAGGATGGCAGGCAGGCAGCGCAGACAAATTACAATAAAATTTGCCTCGTCTGCTCGGGTGGAAGAGGAAATACTATGAGCGTTGTTGCGCAACAAAATGCGCTCGGCGGGCAGGTTTTGGAACATCGCTCAATATGGAGGACGATCTTGGAACTCGAGCGTGATTCAATTATTGAAGCAATAATGTTTAAAAATCACAGCTCAAATAAAGCGACCAAAACACACGTTGCTCTCAAGCAGAGCGACGACAGTATTGCGTTGCTCTTCGCCTTCCTAAAAACGCCTCGCGTGGAGAAGACGAAGACTGCAAGTGGAGGCACCTGCTCGCACTGCCCCGGTCCGGTCCACGGCCAGACGAATTTCGCGCACGCTACAACAACACACGCCGCGTCTAAGTGTTACGCGCCGTTTCTGCACGCACCCTGACCGCCCCTGGCCGAGCAGTTCAAGGCGTTAACTAGCGTTAGCCAGCGTTAGCTAGCGTTAGTTCACGCCCCAGCGTCGCTGCAGCACATGGAGGCGCGGCGGCAGCGCGGTGGCGGCGCGGCGGCGGCGAGCAGCTCCAGCACGCCGCGCGGCCGCAGTCAGTGTAGAGCCGACATTAGCATAATCCTAGCATCACTCCCGTCCCGAAAATTCCGTCCCGGGGTGGGATAGAAACCGGTCCCCCCTGATGCCGGAGAGCTCTCTTTGGTAACGTAATAAGGCAGTAATGGTAACGATGCACCGCGCGGTTCCCAATTTCGAGAGGCGACCAGTAGTGCGGGACACACATTTCCCTCAAACCGCTCGGTGCATTGAAGTGGTTTAAAATTGCATAATAGGGATTTGACGCCCCCCCCCCCTCACAAAAAAATGCAGGAAAAAGTTCCTAAATTTTCCTTTTTTTCAAATTCTCACGGAACAATATCCGGAAAACTTAAACTTTTCCGGAAAATTTAAATCTCTAAACGTGCATGTAGTTGTGAAACTTTTTGTCACACCCTGGCAGACAATGGAATGGAATGTCGCTGTCTATTTTAAAACTCCCAGGCGGAGAGAGCACCGAAGCCATCGGCAGGTGAAAGGTAGGGGCTGGCGGCTGACAGCTGACGGACTTGCAGTCGTCAGCGACGGCCAGCAGTGCGGGTGGCGCGGTTCACACGAGGTCCTCAACGACGGCCCCTCCTGGTCGGTGAACTATCCCACCGGAGACGTCGCGGAGGGGGAGGGGGGCGGGGGGACTCATCGTGCCAGACAATCGCCAGGACAAGCAGGCAATCTAACGGCGGAAAGTGGGACGGCAGCCTGCAACAACAAAGCACTACGCTGGCGTTGCTGGAGTCATGCTCAAACCAACGTATAGCCACTGTAAAAACCAAAGTGAAACCACGATGAAACCATTCGGGTACCACGGTGAATACACGAATTCACGAATACACGTGTGGAGAACCACAAAGCAACTTTCCCGGAACTATGATGGTAGAACCAATACTGTAAGAGCAATAGAACACACCATCATGAAGAAACTGGCGTTTCCGTACATGACGTTCTCCAGTCTCTGTGCCTTGTGTAGGGGAGCTCTGAGTACGGCGCCACCGTAACCGCGCCCGCAGACTCAACTTTCAATGTACGGTGTTGGCGTGGGCATACGGGGCGTACATCGTATTGCCTTTGCCGTGGCTCCGTACGAATAAGGTCCACAGCACATTAGGGAGCATTGGGTTTTGCTCGAAAAAAAAATGCGGTACATCGCCATCGTTTTTCTGCCATCATTTATGCACACCCAGAAAACGGTTCCGTTGATTTTATGTCTGATGTTATGCTAGAATTTTTCTCTTGATTCATGTGATTTGCATATGCTTTAAAGGAAAAATGGCCATAGGGTGAAGAATCATCCTTGAAAACAAAGAAAGCTCCTTCAAATTAAAGAAAAATTCTAGCATGTCTACATGAACGGAAATTTCCGTTGGAATAAGGGGATTACCGTTAGTTCAATGGAACTATTTTCTCTGTGCATTGTAACTGGTCAGCGGCATCAGACTATGTATCGAGGGGGAGAGTAGCGCTGACCCCACTATGGGCCGTTCGGACTCCGCAGGAACCTGGGGAGACACTCGTTGCGCAAGCTGCGAGTACAGGCGCACGGGGCACGAGGAGGTGCTCGGCTCGGCTCGGCTCGGCTCGGCTCGGCTTCTTCCCGAGTGAAGACGGGAATCCCGAAAATCAGGATGAACCGGAAGCCAAGGTCACGCGAGGTGATCCCGCGGCTGCGGTCCTGGCCGGCCCATGGCCCGCGCGATCATAACACTCACGAATATCTTGTTTTTCGTTTGATTTGCCCCTGGTAATCACTTTCCTTGTGCGACCAGAGCAACAACCGCGGGGTTGCCAGCACCACGTCGCGGACGTGGAGTTCGCTGCCACAGAGACGAGATTCTTGTTTAGGATGTGGTGTGGTTCTGGTTTTGTTTCTTGGTCTTACCCCAGTCCGCTTCCTTCCAGGTGGCCGTCAGACCCCCGGTATCAGCACCAGCAGAAGCAGGAGGAAGAGATCACCGACATGGACCCCAACAAGCTAAACAACAACGACATGGTGCTGTCCAAGGCCATCAAGCTGGACGAGGAGATGCTCAAGCTGCCCAACCGCGTCTCGGAGACGCTCACGGGCCACAACATCCTCATCACGGGCGGCACGGGCTTCATGGGCAAGGTCTTCATCGAGAAGGTGCTCAGAAAGACCCCCAACGTCGGCGCCATCTACCTCCTCGTCCGGAACAAGAAGGGCAAGGACCCGAAGGAGCGCCTCAAGGACGTCTTCTCTTCGCCGGTGAGTGCCCCCCCCCCCCTCCGACCCTCAGCCCGCGAGGCGCGCGGTAGGCCGCCCCGTGAGGCACGTGTGCGGCGGGGTTGCCTACCCCCGGTATGGCAGGCGCCTGGCCAGCCACCTCGGCGCTAAGCGCGCTAAGCGCCGGCAAGTGCCGAACCCTCCCCTGTCATTATCGCTGACGAAAAAAAAGACCTAAGCATTTACTCGACGTCTGACCGAGAGAGAAACAACGAGCCGTAGAGAAAGGAGGGGGCTGCGAGATGTACAGACCACAGCAGGTGGGTTGCACTGTAAATTGAAACGGAGACTTTGGCCCCCTCTAAAAGGATGTACAAAATGTCTCCTTGTATGGGGGTCGCCGCCTCCCGGAGTCACCCTGAACGTATCGTCGAAAACGTCCCGCTACGGGGAGACTTTTGTGTCCCTTTCCCGGAGACTCTTGTTCCCCGCAGAGAGGAGACTTTTGTGTCGCTGTAAAGGGTGACTTCTGTCGCGCTCCAATGGCAAGGCAAATCACCGCGCAAAGGGAGACTTTTGTCTCCATGCAATGGCGAGGAAGCTTACCCCGCGCACGGGTGCTTTCGTCCCCTAGGCAAGGGCAACATTTCTTACCCTTTTTAGAAGAAAAAAAAACATATCGGTTATCCTAGTTTTATCTCTTGCGTGTTGTCGCGCTTGAATCCTTCCTCGCTGTCGTCACAATACTTGTAGGCTGTCATCATGGTGGGTTGGGTTACTACATAGCCGCGAGACACGCATTTTGCTGGCAATGCCGGGAACCGAACCCCGGCCGTGCCAACTCAGCGCTCACGCTTCGTTCGTAACTTACTGAGCCATGGAGCCCTGGTGCGGGTCCTTGTGCAGGCAGCTCATCACACTCCTCTGTCGGCCTGTCTCCCCGGCCCTTCCCGCCCCCCCGTCGCCCCCCCCCTCCTCTTTCCCCCATCCCTCTCCTCTCCCGGCGGGCGGGTAGAGGGGGACAGCACAAAGAGGATGGAGCAGGTAGGAGCATCCGAACAGTGTGACTGACCTCCAAGTTGACTGCATGTTGATGCGCTGGCGGCTGGGGAGGGGAAGAGGGACCACGGGGGGAGGTACACAGCCAGAAGTTTCGTCCGACCATAAAGCGGAAAGTACAGTTTATGAGTTCCCGATTTTGGCATGCGAGCCGTCCTCACCACTCCGGGTAGGCCGGCGCGAGCGACGGCTCAGCTGCACCCAGAAATGGTATCCTTAAACCAAGAAAAATTCTTTAAAAAAAAAATGCAAGGTTATTTTTTACCTTGGCCTAAGGAATTTCCATTGTTTTCAAGAAAATAGTTCTAATCTAAGGAAAATTTTCTTTTATTTTAACGCTATTATCCGTAAGTCTCGCCTAAATTAGAGACAGTTTCCTTGTATTTTTTCAACGTAAAAATAGCTTTTCGCATTTCGCTTTGCAAGGTTACTATTTTCTGGGTGTTTCACACACACATCCGGCGTTCGACAGTTTTGTTCGAAAAGTGATAGTTCAAAAAACGTTCATTATTAGACAGTCCCCAATACTGGCTTTATCGGAGGGCAACGTGCCCCGCCCCCTCTCCATCTCCTATACAGGATCCGCACCGTCTTTTTAAAATGCTTATTGGCTGAGCGATTAGCGAAGCCCATAACTCCACTGACCGGAAAAGTTTCATTCTGTTTGTTTGTCTGTTTGTCTGTTTGTCCGTCTGTCCGCTACGCCACGCTCGACGCCGCGTTCAACACCGCCACGTTCAACGCCGTCGCGTTCAAAGTTGGCGGGCTCAACGCCGCCGCGCTCATTGTTGTAACAAGATTTTAGTTGTTGGTATTGAACATGACGAATAAGGGCTTTAAGCCTTCTTTAAAAATCTCCGTAAAGAAGGATACTTGTCTCCACAACGCACACCGCGGCAGTGGTCCGGAGATAGCCTAAGGTGTGATGAGATGAGGTGAACATGACGAATGAACGGCAATGGAAACCTTAGGTCGCCTATAGAAGTCTCCGAAAAGACGGATATTTGTCTCCATTAAAAGGCTACGCCAAAAGGAAACTTATGTCCCGTCAGTTTGGAAACATTCATTTCCCGGCTGGGTGGCGATAAAAGTCACCTTTCCGTGTTTACGGCAGCGACAGGCAACAGATGTACCCCGAGGAAAGGAGACTTTCCGCAAAAGGGTGCCGAAGTCGCCAGACGGAAAGGAGACTTCACTTGTCTCCGTTTCTGGGGAGACAACGGCCAAAAAGTCGCCGTTTGTAAAAGGAGACAAGTGCAGAAGTCTCCGTTTCAATTTACAGTGTGGGTTTTACGAGTGTTTTCGCCTCAGGCGATAGAGGCGCAGCGCGATGGTGCGGTCGGGGTGAGCCCGACTGCTCCGAGCATGTCGTCATTATGACGGGGTCGTGAATCATCGCCGTACGTGCCGGCCTCTTGGTCTAGGGGTATGATTCCTGCTTTGGGTGCAGGAGGTCCCGGGTTCAAATCCCGGAGGGGCCCGGTTT